AATCATTTAAAAACTACTCGCACTGCTGTTCAACACGTTCTCTTCCCAAATTTGATTCATATTTAAATATGGAAAGACAGATTATGTCTAGTTATCGACCTGTCAATTTTGTAACAACTTAGGTTGATTAGTAAGGAGTTGACTTCAAGCACCCAAGCATACGTCAAAATAATAGAGCTCAAGTAGTCATTCGCTTCCTTGTTTTGTATAAGTATTACATTTCCTATCATATATTAAATATCGAAAAGCTTTCTGTGTTTGAACAGGTGACCTCCCGCTCCATTGTGTGCTACCCCACGAGCTAAATAAAGACCAAGTCACTACTAGTCTGCTTTCTTCTGACAATCGAGCGAAGGTTACCTACCGATAAGAAAGTCTAACCAGAATAATAGTTGAATTGCCCGAGAAATATTTCCGGCCAATTAGCTAACAAATATTGTTCATTTTCGAATATTCTATGGGGATCTTTAAACTGCAATTAACTAAGTCTTGTAGAATCATACAATGTATTAAATCTTGAGTAACACGGGTTTCGGAATAATAATCTGTGCTTAGCTAGCTTACTGATCGCGATAGAGGACTGGAAAACAGCCCGAAATAATGGTCTGCCTATCACTTTGATATTCATAGATCTTACCAAAGCATTCGATAAGGTCTTATCCAGAATTTCTCGAGCTATGACATTACAGGTGTAATACTGGAGTGGATTGGAAACTTCTTTTGTAGCCTAATACAGAGGGTGAAGGAAAATGGAGTACTATCTGGATGGAAGCCGGTAAAATGTGGTGTACTCCCGGGCACCATCTCAGATTCCCTACCTTTCTTTCTCTCGGTCAATGAATTGCCGTGAATGCTTAATTCATCGACATTAATGTTTGCAAATGATGCCAAAATCTGAGGAACAAAAAGCAGTGAGCCTTATCATCTTGATCTCGAAGTTAACCTAGTTGAATAAGTTAGATAGTTCATAAGCATGGGCTTAGAAGTTAATTCCTAGAAAGTGTGCTAATGCACATCGGGCATAACAATAGTTATCAGTATATTATCAACGGTTCATCACTCCCATGCGTTCAGGAACAAAATAGCTTTGTAGGTACAGTAAATCACGACTAATATAAAACTGAAGACTACAATGCGGCAATCACAAAAGGTTTTCGAGTGCTGTAGTCACTTCGTTGAACATTCAAATCTTTTAAGATATTTCGGGTTTTATATACCACCTAAGGAAACCACATCTACAATATTGCATTTAAGCAGCCAGTTCATACATTATTAGGGATGCTCAAACACTCGAGGCTGTCTGCTGTGGGAGTGTGTCTTCCAAAATTCCTTCACGATGAGCGTTTAAAACATTTGGACCGTTTACACTTATAGTAGAACTTGAGGTGACCTTATATGTGTATTCGTATCTTTGAAAACGATTAGAGTGTTACCATGTTCAGTCTTTCTTTCCCTCCGTAACCGATCATTGTCGACGCCATAGCAAGAAGGTCCAAAAACCGAGGTCTAATAAATTCAGAGATGGGTTATGTTTTTCTCATCTAATTTTTAATGACTGGAACGCCCTATCCGAACAAATGATCTCAGTCCTACCAGTGATCGATTTCAAGGAGAGGCTGGATGTTCATTGTAAAAAGAGTTTCAAAGATTAATTCAGGTACCTCAACCCTCTGTACTTATTACTGAAGACCGAAGATTGACTTTCACAACGAATTATTAACCGGTGGTATTCCCTAACTCAGAACCTACTTAAGGATCTGTAAAAATGATAATTCAAAGGAAAGTTGTGTTGAATAACAGGTGATGATCGCCAGGACCCATAGTAATTGTAAAGACTTCTCTCCTCCCCAAACTGATTTCTGCCGAGCGCCTTAATTAAAGTGGGCGTTACTTGTCTTATGTTTTTAAATGTTTGCCACTAAATTCCCTAGAGGATCATCTGTTTATGAACTACTGTATCAATCCATAAGATGGAAAGTCAGTAAGGGAAAACCTGCGAAAATGACTTTCGAACTCCGGATGAAACTAGCAGAGACGGATGACCCATGGTTTCGAACCAGGCTAGTTGATTCAACTGAAGAGGTCAGACATTTCTTCCTCTTATAAGTTACTGATTTTATTGTCCATTTATTCTTAGTTGCAGGCTACAAGTGTTTCATATTTACTTAGTTAAGGCTGTTCCAGTGTTGCACGGATTGCTTTTTAACAAAGTAAGACATGGAACTTCAGTTTCCACCAGAATAGAGAATGTCAACAGCAATAATCTTTGGAGCATTCGGTCGCCTTCAAGATGGTGGTTTTATATCAGGCGTTTGTTTCGAGACAGGTTTAATCAGGATATTACTGGTTTACGATATAAGATATAAAGGACATTTGATCCATAATCCTTATCAACTAAGTAGAATATTTTGACGTAGTTGCCTTGGGCCCTTCCTTGGAATTTGATGAAATTCATAACTATGCCATTATGAGACCAATGAGACCACTATTCTTTGAACCTTTTCAGGTAGTTCAGTCTTATAGACAAGAGCTAAATACTTGTATGTAGCACTTAAGCTAACTTACACAATTGCGGGCCAATAACACCATGTAGTGTATCAAAACTTCTCAATACTTGGTTAACTGAACTCTAATCATAATCCAAAAGTTTTAATGCTTATCAGTTCTGAAAGATTCTCTGGTTGTAATAAGTAAATTCATTTGTTATATCCCAACCTACTTTGGTTGTAACATTTCTTGGTTTAGTAAAATGCAGACGTACGGGTGCTAGTATGTTCTTCAGAAAACATGCTTTCTATACAAGATTTTCCGCGGAATTCAAATTCACAAAATATTATGCTTACTGTCTTATCGATCTCGGGACATGACCGTAAGGTTGAAGAGATGGATGGTTTTGGCCAGCCTCAAGAAACCCTTCAGGAACGTATATTCTCAGTTTTACATTTTTACCTCCGTACAGTCTAGAACTTATTATATACACTGGAAGCCTGGAACTTGAGACTGCTTCAGTTTTGGTGACGACCTTTTAAGCCTCCCAAATATTTGAAGAACAGCATTAATGAAGATACCGGCTATCTGCATGAAAAAACTTATTACCGGTCATCAAACCATTATAAGTCGGCAACGTGCGCCGCAGATAGTCATAACGTTTTGGCCCAGTCCAAGTAGCTACATGCATGTGGATTTTGTCAAGGTCTTGGAAACAGAATATTCTCATTCAGTATTAAAACATGAAGTCATCGTGTCAGCTATGTTTTGGTTCTAGCGCCAGAATTTTAACTGGTTTTAAATCTGTTAGTTGAAGTTCTGACAAATCGAATTTGCTTGGATTTGTGATCTGGACATGATTGTATATACCGTTATGATCTGTAGACAAAAGCATAAAGTGACAGCATTTATCTTATTGCGATCAGATTAATAAGTTTACATAGTTAATACTGTGAGGGTATTTGCTGTATTCTACTTAGTACTTATTTCTTGTACGAGCTTAGCATAATATAGTGTCTGTGTACTTTACTTTTAATCTGTTAATTTCAATAGGCGAAACATATTATGAAGAAATCAGCAAAGTTTTCTAAAGATGATATTATTACGGTTCCTCTCGAGGATGATTTGACGCCGGTAAATGGGGTCCCAAAAGAACACCAATCTGAAAGGCGTGTTAGAATTTTCATCCCAGCTAAACCTGCCACTCAATCAGGCACTCATGGTACTCGACTTTGGCGTATTGAGTTCGACAATCGCGAACGCTGGGAAAACCCACTGATGGGTTGGGCGAGCACTGGTGACCCACTTTCAAATACAGTTGTTGAATTCGAAACTTCTAAAGCGGCAGAAGAGTTTTGCGAACGACAGGGATGGCCATGTTACGTAGAAAGTCCAAATACTTTAAAAATGAATATCAAGTCCTATGGATCCAATTTTTCATGGAACAAACGAACACGGGTTGGATCGAAATGACGTTATCAGATTGCTCACATTTTTCTTGTTGCTAACTTACTTTAGCAGCTACTTCAGTTGTGACCTATTTTATTTTGCTTGCTAATAAATATTGTAGAAATATAAATTAAGTATATATTGTCTACTTTTTGTTATTTCATTTGTGCTTTCTATTTCTCCGCTAACTTTAAGTAGGAAACTTAAGTTGACTGCAAAATTGTCTTGTCCTCGTAATGGGACGTTTTGACAACTTTGTTTGGACAGTGGTTTATGAGAGTGCTATTCACTGTCTATCCCATAGTCTATTTTGGTTCGTATCATTTTTCATTCTTCAATTGAAACAGTGTATTTCACTCAATCCTATACTTGGACCTCAGACAAGTGATTGCGTTGTTTAGTTAATTTGAATTAGTCTCACGTCTTATGTACGTTAATAACCACTCTCAATGTCATTCATTCTGCTGAAGTTGATAAAACCTTAATGTTTCTTAATGTTTTTTACTCATATTGTTGGGAAAGACCTACTGAAAGTAAGATATTCTCGTCACGGAACGAATCAGTGAATCTATTCTCTAATCACCTCTCAATGGGTTTCGTTGTTGCACATAAATAACTGAAATACAAAATTAAAACACTAGCATTACCGTGTATAAAATACTAAAAGCTCCACGTAGTGAATTGTTTTTCATTTATTGGGATCTTACTTCAGGCTTGTCACAGTTGTGATTATATGTATAAAGTAATTAAAAAATCATTACATTAGGCAGTAATAGGACTGAATGCTTCTTAGGGCGATAGCTGCTCGAACACTTCTCCCTAACAATCGTTTTTGTCTGATAGCCTCACATTCCTATATGTATTAAGTTTCATTCTTAGCGTTAAGTGCTTTCTTTATATATTGAACTTATTTGAGTATACCATTCATCATGGATTTTGTTTCTCACCATGAATTAGTGGTAATTTGAGGATTTAAATACATTCTAGTTATTATCGCAAGATATTCTTTTTTGGAAATTAATAATGCATTAAGTTAACCAATTTATTAGTCTGATAATTTCGTTATGTTTACATTCTTTATAGGTCCGATGCCGATTTCAGTGGATAGAGAACGCCGTGCGAACGCCGGAGCCCGGATGGCTCGGTTGCTTAATGAAGAGGAAGAAGATGAATTCTATTCCAATATTTATGGTGGATTTGCAGAAGTACTATTCGTGTTTTATTGTTTATCTAATACTTATTTTTCATGTTTTGCTAGGTTAAATGCGTTGCTTAATCATCACTCATGAAACCGATTATTATTATATATTAAAGGTCACTTAAGGTTATTAGTCTATACATAGTATATGCAAAATATCACGAACGAAGCACTTATTTGTTCTCAAAGATACTAATGGCAATATTTATAAAATGGATACTAATTAATATCATACTGTACGGTTCTCATTGAGAATTGTATTCTACTCTGAATTTTTGCGATGGATGTTGTTAAAACATGTATTGCTCCTAAAAACCACTCACAGTTTGGAGTTCGGACCCTTTTACGGCTGAGCAATCCCTTGCCATTCAAACGGGGCATCATAGTCTATTCCTCAATCGACAGTATTTGTTCAGCATTATAATGTTGGATAGTAATCTACATGCGTTTTGGTAGTCACTTTATATACGTAACCCTATCAATCAAACTTATTCATAACTTAAATATCTCCCCAGTATATCTGGCTATAGCCGTCAAAGACATGTGTTCGAACCTGAAGGGATTTGATTACGTCTACATTCACAGCCCTCACACAAATCTCATTTGATTTGTGTGGCGCATATGTATCTGGTACCCGTTTGTAGCAATATTTATGTGTATAAATAATAATAATAATAATAATAATAATAATAATAATAAAACAACATTCACTTTTTACTGACAAATTCTAAAAAGGTTTGAAACCGATATCCATTGGATTCCTAATAGCTTAAATCACTGAGATGCTTATTTATTACAACTTTGTCCTCACTTTCCAAATTCTCGGGGATAAGGAATGTAACTCTCATAATGATACAACTTTGACATTTCGAAAAATCGCTTGTGTTGGTTGTTGGTAATACCTAGTAGTGAATTTCCAGATACTTTTCTATTGTTTGCGGCTCGCTTTTCTGGATATGCGTCTTATAATACTATATTCAAGTGTGAATTTAACATATATCTTAGAGTTTATTTGATTCTTTGCTTTGGGATCAGTGGGATGAATCCTCGTACAGCGTCATAAACTTTTGTATCTGAACATCTTTTTTTTTTTTAGAAATCTCGCAACTAATCAACGAAATCATATATATATATATATATATATATATATATATATATATCCACTCCAAAGTCTTTATATGTGTTTAGTGTTTTATGTGTAACATCTAGGCGATAAGCTTTACATTCATACATATAATGAATAAACGTCAGATAAGGAGAACACTTCTAAAATCTAATTGTAATACGCCATTGTGTTATAATATTGAATTCGTCCCCAGAAAACAAGTCTATTAATTGGAAAGATCATAGCTATAAATCTTTTTATAAAAATGGAAAGATTGTCATGATTTTTACTCCCATTTAATTCCTCTTTTAGGAAGAAGAAGATGCAGATTATCAGTCAGAAAGTTCAGTTGAAGATGTAATTGATTCTGATTTCGCTGATGAAAGTAGTGGATCTGATGAAGATGACGCAACAACAATAGCATCGGACGATGATGAGAACAAACGCCAAAAGCGTCAATCTAATCGTGTTGTTACAAAAGGTTACAAAGTAGGAATATCTCCCTTTTTTGAAAATTATGTCAACTTTTCTACTAATTATAAGTTTCCCATTCAACTGATAATTTTTTATGAAGTCAACTCAGTTAAAAGCGTTAATATTTCATATAACACATTTAGCTTACCATGTATTCCCTTGTTTACAATTACATTCAAGTTACTAAAAATAAATCGCTTTGGAAAAAGACTGGAAATATTGACATACTTTAAAAATGTGTAAAACTACTAACAGTATTTGTAATACTTGTAATAGATGTATTGTGGGTAATGATACTGGGTTCGATTCCCTTTGTAAGTATTAACGCTAGGATTCAGTGCACCCAGCTGATGAGTCTCAAATAGAATGAAACTCGCTTCCTGCGTTTCAGTGCTACTCATTATCCACCTATTCTAAATAACTTGTGTCATGATGCTAATATCGAAGCGATCCACATAAGATGCACATATGATAACAAAAACTAATCAGAACTCAGTCCATAAAATTAATAAGATAACTCAAAACCCTATAATGGTGTTGTGTGCACGATAGTTAAAGAACTACTTCAAAACGGAAAATAAAATAACAGGATAAAAGGTAGGCACCTACATTAAAACTGAAAGTAAGGTTTTTTCTTTTTTCTTGGTCATTAATGTTTTTGTGTTGTTGCATAATAAGATGTGTAGCTTTTTTCAATGGTTTATGCTTTGAAATTAATTAATTTTACATTTATTCGGTAATAATCTTTTTTAATTACCACAGGAACCTAAACGTGCTAAAATTACTCGTTTTCAAGAAAATAAGTTATCTGATAAGAAGGCTAATAGTGATAAGAGTTTAACTGATCCTCAGAGTAAATCTACCGTACAAATTAAAGATAGGCAACAACAGATAACAGTAACAAAGAAGACTTCAGGACAGATTTCAACTTATGGTATGTTGATTATCTGATTTTCTTTTAGTTGAACATATTTTAGTTGTGCATATGCAAAGTGGATGGTTATATTTTCACTTGTTTTTGTTTATCGGCAATGATTAACAATGTTATTTCAAAATAGAACTATCATAAGAATAAGGTTAGGAATAAACTATTAAACGGTTCACACACATATAATGTTGGAACGGAACTGTTACAAATAGTGATAATATTAGGTTTAATTTCATTTCTATTCAGCTGAATATCTCTTCCAATGTACACCATTATTGGATAATGAGTTATCATGTATTCAATCTAGTGTAGATCAGTTAATACTGTACATAACAATAAAAAAATGTACTTATCACGTGTAACTTTAATTATAGACTATTACTTTGGCGTCATCTCAATGATTCAGGTTGCTTGTAAATGATGTCGTGTAATTGCTGTTGTAAATGATTTACATTGTGATTGGTGACCGAGTGTGACATTGTAATGTTGATTTGATGCGTGGTATGTTTCCATTCTATGTTTGTTCAGAAGCACTAGCATTCGCAAGCCATGAAAGATGTGCGTAGATCACTTTTATTTTTTCTGTTATATTATAACCTATTGACAAAAAAGTACTTTATAAGCTATCACGCATTGTTTTCGTATATATATATATATACGTATATTTCAGAACGACCAGAATTACGGGCAAGCACATTGCAAGCTACAGCTGATCAAGAAGCCGAAACCACTCGTAGACGAATAGCCACTGCTGAAAATACAGCTGTTCGTCGTAAAGCTTTACTAGCTGAAATCGCTCAGCGCAAAAATCTTCCGGAGGTTCGACGTTTAACTCAAGAGGAATTATTAGCTGAGGCAAAAATCACGGAAGAAATTAATCGTCGTTCTTTAGGTGAGCCGGTTCCACATTCTTTGGTTATTTATTCTCTGAAAAAGTGGCTTACACTGAGTCACGAAACGTCAGAAAATCTAATTTTTATACTTATTGGGATATTACGAATATATTACTTATTTATAACAATCTACCCAATACTCAATTTATTCAAAATTTTCAGAATTTGTTTTATTTTCCATCATGAATATACAATATTTTCTGTAATGTCAGAGGAGGGTGGTGGCTAATTTAGGGATTTTTTTGGTCAGTTAAAGAAAAGTGGAAAATGTGTATTTTACGATATACAACTATGTTATATTGTTGTTACTAGATTGCTTTAATTATATTCGAAAGTATTTCGTTATTATTTTATTTATTATAACAATTATAGGGACATATACGCATAAAAAGCATGGTGTTATTTATCTATACTTAATAATATATTTTTAATTATAAGAGTGTTTATTCACCAGTTGCTTACTTGTTTTTTTTCAATACCAGCTCGATACCAACGCTTAGAAATTGAAAAGAAAAAGGCACGTATTCAAAAAACGGTCAATTCCACTCCAATGATTCGTTATCATTCATTTACTGTTCCAATTATTGAGGAACAACACAATATATACGGAGTGTTAGCTAATAATGATGATGAGTAAGTTTAAATGTTGGGTGAAATTTTGTTTAATATGTTACAGATATATCTTAGAATATGAAAAGAACAAATTTTTCATATCGTTTGGATCACTCTTGAAATGGAATCTATGTGAGAATTGTTTTAAAATTAGACTATCCAGAATATATGCAACAAAAATAAAGTCTTATGGTTTTGGTCTGGCATCGATTTAACTAGCTTTCAGGGGGTTTATTTTCATCTCTTCCTGTTATGTATATTTACTGAGGGTGATTCCAATCTTATCTCCAAATAATCTGTTGGAGTTTTACCGTACAAGATTTTGGGATTTAAGTGTTTAACTGATATTCCATGCAATTACGAGCTCTTCGAATTGTACGCTTCTACATGACTCGAGTCGTTTTTAGTACCATTTATCTTTTTAAATGCTAATCAGGCTCAACATGATATATCTAAAAATATAGATCGGTATCGTCTTTCAGTTTTATTTCTAAGTCATAGTTACAGAGTCTTTGAGATCCCATTTAGAGAGTCGATATATGTTAAAAACACCAACTCAATACAACTGACCTTCATAACCAGGTGTCACTTTATAAACCTACAATTTTTCCTCTGTAACCAAACTCACTCTCGGTAAATAAGCTGCCTAACTTTGATGCTATTTGTGTGGCGTTTCTATCAAACACAAAGTTTGATACCGAAACAACCAGAATAAAAGTAAGAAAATAGAGATAAGATATTCTTAACCCGAAAAGATCACGTTTTTCAGGTATTGAGTTGAAGGTTTGGACCTATACCATATGTTCTCTGGTTTGGGTAGTTTGGTGATATTGTAAAGACCTAATCTTGGTCACCGGATTGCACCAAGCTATTAAAAACAATATGAAAGTCAGCAGCGATTTTGTTAACTTTAAGAAAACACATTGTTATAATTGTGTTTTTTTGCTATATAAACGATCCAGCTATTCCTATTGCTTAGTATTCTTATACGATGACACTCGACAAGATCCCAAAATCAGAACACGTTGAACAGGAATGAAATTGTATTCAAAATAACAATGGTATGTGAACAGCAATCCGCAATCAGTAATCAATAGTTTAAATATCGTTCATATATTTATAGTATATGCATAAGAAGCTTATAGATTTTTCTGCAATAATATGCCCGGGCTGATCGGTTTAAAATTAACCAATCAGCGCGCAGCAACACCATCATGCATAAAACATGCATATCCCACTAACACACATATTCTTGTATTTTATTAACTTTTTACTTTATGAACATATATGTAGTTTATTGAACTCAACTATTCTAAATGTGGACTTTCTAACATACGTAATGAAATTTTGTTTTCAGTGATTTTATTTGTGTTTGCAGTTTTATACAATTTCTAAAACATTTATGATTTATAGGTCAAGTATTCGAGCTGGTCCCATAATTACAGATCATTCAGCTAAATGTTCAAGAAATCTTATAACGTTTGCTAATGATGTATGTTTTCGTGATTCAATGCCTGAAACAATCACTCCACTACCAGAACCTGGTTGCCCTGCTCCTACTCCTATACGTCCAGAACGTCGTTTACGAATATGTCCAATTACTGGTTTACCAGCACGTTATTTAGATCCATTAACTTTAACACCATATGCTAATTTAGCCGCATTTCGTGTACTTCGACGCTTATATTCTATACATTTAGAAACAAAAAAGCCACCAATTGAGTTATTACGTGAATATCGACATGGTCGTTAACAGTTTTACTACTTTCGTATACATTTATAAAAACTAGATGATGTTGTACATATTGTGTTGGTAATTGAAAGATTTTTTGATTTTAAAAACAAAAACATTTTGCTCACTGAATAGTTCTTTTATGAACTCTTATTACGACCCAGCTACTCTTATTACTTAATATTCTTGGACACTAGTTCACTTGACAGGTCCCCGAATCAAAACACGATTGAAAAGGGATGTAATTATATCCCAAATAAACAAGGTAGAACGGAAGTAGGAATCACGGTAAGATAAACGTTTATATGCTCCTCCATGAGGGGTAACAGGCGTAGGTAAGCAAGTTTATTGATAATTTTTACTTAACGATATTCTAGAGTCTTCCTCAAGTGTCCGCTAGCGCTGATCGATTAAGAAATAGCCAATCAGCGTGCCCCAACTCGTGCTTTACCCCAATCTGTGTCTCACTTTGACTTATTCATGTGTTTATTTTTAAGGAGCTATTCTTATACATGCTTACTTACAAATCAACTTTTCAACATTCGTGTTAGCGTTATTCCTTAGCCATAAATGTACCTTACTAATAAACATGTTTTGCATACTCGTATTGCTTATTATTTATAGGTATACTCGTAAAAGGTCATAAAGCAACATAGGCCGTCCACCAGCACTCTTCATCCAACTCTGTCCTGGGCAATTCTTTCCAGTTGCTATTTACCCTTTTGATGTCTGCTTCCAGTTCTCGGTGCAGTGTATTCTCTTTTCCTTTTCGCTTCAGGGTTCCAAGTTAGCGCTTGCCTCGTTATGCAGTATGATGATTTCCGCAATGCATGTTCTATCCATCTCCAACGTCTTCAACTGGAAGCTAGTTTGTTCTCTCTCACAGTAGGCTGTTACTGATGGTATCCTGCCAAGAGACATTCGGTTTCTTGAGTAGACAATTGTTTATGAATACTTGTACGTTTTTGATGATGGTTGTGGTAGTTCTCGAAGTTTCAGTAGAATTGTCTTGACATTTGTATTGAAGATTGTGACTTTGATGTTGGTTGACAGTTTTGAGTTCTATATGTTCTTCAACTGTGGGAATGCTGTTTTTGTTTTGCCAATCCTTGTCTTTACGTCTGCATCGGATCCTCATTGTTCATCGATGATGCTACTGATCAGGTACGTGAAAGATTCTACCCCTCCCAGGATTTCTCCATCAAGTGTGATTGGATCGGTGTTCTCTGTGTTGTATTTGAGGATCTTGTTTTTTCCGTTGTGTATGTTGAGACCTACACTAATTCAGAGGCTGCTGCTATACTAGTTCTCTTGATCTGCATTTGTTGATGTGTATGAGATAGAAGGGTTAGGTCATCTACGAAGTGCAAATTGTCTAGTTGTATCCAACCTATCCATTGTGTTCCGTGCTTCCCGTTGGATGTGATGGTCTTCATAATCCAGTCAGCGACAAATAGAAAGAGAAAGGGTGAGAGTAAGCAGCCTTGTCTGACATAAGATCCTGTAAGGCTTGGAACCTGTTGTTACGAGTTATCTTGAATTCGTTGAGTTTGTCATTATCATGATAGAAGACTGTATTAAACCTTTGTAATGCTGTTTGTCCAGTTGTCCAGTGCTTCTTTCGCTTCAGTTTCATCTTGGTAACCACCAGGTGGTGATTTGAAGGCCATGTCAGCTCCTTTCCTGGTTCCTACATCTTCCATTAAACTTCTGAATTTTTTAAGGGCACAAGTATGATCGATCTGATTCTCTGTAGTATGATCCATTGAGACCCATGTTGCTTTGTGTATACGTCTGTGGGGAAATATTGTGCCACCCATAATCATTTTGTTGAATGAACATAAAATTGCAAATATCTCCCCATCCTCGTTCCAATATCCCAGTCAGTCCATGTTGTCCTGTGATATGTTCATATCCGGTGTTGTCCATTCCGACCTTGGAGTTTAGATCTCCTGTCAGGATGGTCAGGTCCTTTCCTGAGCACTTCGCTATGGTCAATTGAAGCCTCTCGTAAAATTGATCTCTATCGTCGTCGCTGTTATCATTGGCGGGTACATAACATTAGATAACATTCATTGTGATTCCCTCCTTTGTTTTGAAGGATCCTTTTGTGATTTCGGATCCATGAGATTCCCATCCTACAAGTGTTTTGCGTGCTTTCTTGGACAGCGTCAGTACAAATCAATGTGTAGAGCATTTTCCTCTTCGTGACCAGAGTACAGTAACATCTCTCCCGAATCTATCCTTTTCTGTCCAGCTTGGGTCCAATGGGTCTCACTGATTTCGTGGCTATTTGACTGGTCCTCCCTGTCTCCCATATTGTCCGAACATTCCATTCACCTATATTAATCGTTGCTCTAATTGTGACTTCCGAAGAATATCGGCTTTCATCACAAAGCGTCATAATTCTCCCTTGAACTCGGAGGGCATAGTTTAAACCGTTTAATTTGTTTACCCTGATGAGCGTGTTTTTTTACCAAGGTTGTTTTCTATGGAATGGGGCTATTGACCCCACGTCCAACCCTCCGCCTTTACTTGGGCTTGGGACCGGCAGTAACCGCAGAAGAGCTACAAGTGAAGTTACACATAAAAAGGGTATATCATTTTTCAACCTAACTTACAGCTTTTAAGAATTATTCGCATACTTATCGAGTGATATATACACTTTTCAGAAATTTATTGTTTATCTCTGTGACTGTGGGACGTGAGTGTTTAGGGTATATGTGAACTTCAGATATTCAGTTACAAATGTTTTCAGAATATTTCGAGTGGGTCCGTTTATTATTCTGTAAATTTTAAACATAATAAATTTCCATGTATTTATATCCTGCTCAGTGATTTCACAATCTTTATGCATCGTGAATTTCTGTTTTTTTGACTCCACCATTCTCCATTGTTACGATTTTCATTGGATTTAGACAGTAATCTATTTTTTGGGTTTTTTATTTATCTGTATTGGCCCGGTTATACAACTGTTTGCTAAAGACATCCCTTTTTTAGCGTTTAGACCTTGTCTCTGTTAAACCAACAGACCTATCTGGTTGGGACTGCGAAATTTCATTGTTATTATTCTCTGCATCTAGCAAACCCATATTTAAGATCATATTGATGATTTAATCAAATTAATAAATAACTCATACGAGATATTAGGTCTTTTTTGTTGCTGGCTATGTTTTAACGGACTGCACTTCATATGTGCAAGTAATGATTTGTAACTCCACAATCAATAACTTCAACCAAACCTATTAAACATATCAGTGTTTTATCTTGGGACGTATGTATACAATTCGGACAACCAAGCAAAGAATGGGATTATCTCTAAAAAGTATAAATTTATTATTGGTAGACCGGATAACGATGATCGCTCTGGATATTACATCATTTTCTCTACGCATCAACGAAATTTAGCACGGTCATCACCGATTTGCTATCTGACACTCCTTCTGTACATATAATATGTACCATAGAGAACCAGTGTGTACAGATGTATCACTTTCTTCGGGAAGCCTATTTATAACATGGTTATATTTGAGTTTTTGAAATTTGTCTTTTGCAGTGGCAAGAAAGACTGTTTTTCTAAACAGATTGATTAAATCAAAGTTGTTAAATCCTGAAATGCAATTGAATTGTACTGGTTTTGAGCCCGACTGTCAAATGAATGGGAAATGATGACAGTATAGGTTTGGTGCCTGGAGAAAAAGATATATTTGTTGATTATCATCTTAATGTTCGAGGATGTAGAAAATTGAAGAGCCCCAATATCTCGTTAGATAGATATTTAAACATGACATTAATAGATCCGACTATTTAAGCTCAACATAATCTTGAGTAATAAGACTTACCTTTTATGGATCTCATTGAAATATTGTATAGCAACATTGTATTCAAAACAACCCATAGAAAACATCCTATAGGTTGATGAAGCACCAACAACGTTGTTGGATAACCAACGACGTAACCGTTGAAAAATATAGATCAATTTATCTATAGATACTAATTGGACAATGTTCTTTCAGTAGTTTTTAAATAAATTTAATACTTATATCTTGTTTATTTATTTAAACACATAAATATTGGTGCAAGGGGGCACTAGATATATATGCTCCACGCAAAACAATGAAAATGGAAAGAGAAAGGGGGTAAGATGCATATGTAAAAAAAGGATAAAAAAGAAAAGAGTAATGGTGGAGGGAACTCAAATGTATAACCGGAAAAACTCTCATTTAAGGAGGTTATGACCACTCTTTATGCAGAAAGTAAAAGAAGGTTACGGCAGGATCTCCATTGGCTTCTATTCTCAGCCATATCTGATAACGTCTCTAGCCACTGTTTTGCATCATCTCTCGGACCCCAGCCAGGGAGTCGTGAAGGTCCAACAGAAGCCAGCCCTTTGCAGCTTTCTTTCATGCCACGACACCATGTTATACACTGACCACCTCTCCGATTTTTCCCACCAGTCCCAGCGTCGGCAAATAATGCACAACGTGGAATTCTCTGAGACGACATAGAACATGTCCAAGCCACCAAAGTCGATGCTTAAAGATAGTGACACTAGTTGATACTAATAGTATCTTGTTATCCTGACTATATCAATCAAGGTTATAATATAAATCTTTTTGAAAAATAAAATGATTTGATGATTAAGTATGGTAAAATTAGATTTGTTACAAGTAAATTTCAAATTACTCTCAACTACAAAGTTTATTGATTTTTAATTTTCATATTTATTCTTACTTTAAATGTACTTTTAATAGAGTAATAACAATAACAACGAAAATAAATATTCCAATATGTCATTTCTAAAAAAGTATATATTTAAAAATGCATAAAAGTATACCATATAGCCCAATGAGGGTGTGGCTTGTAGTTATTTTTAGGAAGTTCAACTTTTCTTGTATATACTTGATAAAGTGTTATGTCCCGATAACAATAGTGAATGGTAACTTTGGGATCCATTTATAGACCAATATTATGTATATATTTTTTATCGTATAATTGCTAGATAATTAAACTATTCATATTCATGTTCCCCTTATCATGAGCTTTATTTTGAACTATAAACTATTATTATACGATCTACCATTCTTGAGTTACCCCTAGTCTACTAATTACTGCCTCCCACATTCACAGCCACATTTGGCTAAATCTTGTACAAATGCTATTTTCTATTTTATTGGTACGATGTGGTCAGTTTGATTGGTATATAAACTCAGTATGTTTGAAATACAAGGAATCATACCCCAGAGGCTGTTTCAGACTTAACTGGATGGGCTAGGCAGAAACTGGACCGGTAGTACTCTAGACTGTTCGTACGCTTTTCGTGTGTCGCTGCTCTCTGATTGGTGGTCTTATCACGTCATACATTAACTGGGCATCCACTCGGCCACAAGTTATAACATAAAGTATAAATTATAACAAGACCCCGAAATCATGACAGATACTTTGTATCAGTGAATTACTGCAAACTAGAAAGTATTGAATGGTTTCTTTTATTCTTGGTTTCAGACCTCTCATCTATAACTATTTTGTGGATGAATTTCTTGAATGCTTTATGAATAGATGTGAATTGTCGAGTCAATAATACTGATAATGAGCCAGTTAACACATGGTATTTTATGATGATAACAAGGTGATTGACTCACCAGTTTCAATCTGAAGTATTATATAGGTATGGGTGCAATAAGTTTGTTAGCTTCCTTAATGAAACATATTTTTGTGTCGTAATTAAAAGAATAGGTTGGCAAATAATGGTAGTATTTTTAGTAATTGATGAGTCTTAAATAAGATAAGATGCACATTCTAGTTTTCGCTGCTAGCCGCTATCCGACTTTGATTACAAATCTGAAGCCTAATTAACTGAAATATTCACCTTGAACTATTGCTAGTCTATAAAGCCTCTTATATACATAAAAACCTTGACTTTATTCATTTCTAAAAATGGTATACAGAAGAATCCTTAGAACTTCCCTTAGTCTTTTATCTATGTTACAAGGTGGTACTTGTTCAATTCTTTTAGTGTAGTTCGAACTTCTCTCTGATTGGTGTTAAATAACTTTCGTTATGATTTCAAATGAATCTCAGACAAATTAAACTCTGTTTTCTTGTAGTCTTCAATTATTGAGTAGAATAATGTATATTGTTTAGCAAAGATAAGTTAGTACTAATAAGATAGAATTCCTAACGTTCAAAATGAAAGGTATTGGGATTAACTTGATATGATATTTACGATTACGTATAATTATGTAAGTACATGTGTAGTTGTATGCATTTATATGAAAAATTACATTAGATAATGGGCTTTTTAGTATAACATATAATAATTTTTTCGTTTTTGTAAATACTAAACAATTTTTAGTGTTTAACCGAAAATTTTGACTCCGATTACTGCAGACACATGAAAAATGTGATTCCGTACTTAAGTTGAACATTTAAGTCGACTTAGTGAGTCTACTAATTTTATAGCCTTAAGTATTTTACCAATAGGGATCTAAATTATAAATAGATCATTAGGACACAATCAACATATGAGGTGATACATCCACATCAGCCCGTTTCTACACTACATCAGCGTAACAAGATGATGTTGATGAAATACACTATGCATCAATCAGAGTAGCAATATCGTCAATGGCTAGGAAAAAAGTTGCTTAACATAGTGAACATAGTTTTAAACATGAGAATAAATTTTCATGAATTAAAAGTGTAGAATCAATTTAAAATTTAGTAGTTCGGAAATGATAAAGTACACTAAAATTGAGAGTCATGTCAATCACATGAATGAGTTAGTGCTTCATGAAGTAAAGTTGTATAAATATCATCTCAACTTTACTCTCACCAATGAGTATTTTGAAGTGGATCTCATGTGAAATATACATATGGAATATTTACAGATGCTTTTTAATTGGCTAATTCGTCTTTAATTGTAGACTAAAAGTTATTTAGTGAACATATGTAAACTATTGTGTATTTAAAAGATGTTTCTGCTTATAGAGTAGACGGATTAGGCTATTAGTAGGATCCAGGATATATAATTCCTATGCAGGACAAGTTAACTGGATATACCTTCATCTCTTGGATCCCAATACTACTCGCAATCCACCTACTCTATGAAACTTGTGAAATGAGTTCTTCCACCTTATCAATCAATATTTCATCTATATCTAATATTCTTTTTTCATTTACCAATACATACCAGATGATTCCATCATATTCAAGCAATAATTCAAAAGTATTCTTTTATCAAATATCAACCATCTCTATCCATTTTATACACCCATACATAACGTTTTACAACTATTAACTGATCCAAAGTAAACTGTTTCACCATAATATTCACATTTTGATAAACGAAAGAAGCATCTGTCCGTAATCTAACTTAACTATGCATCAAATAAGGTCTTATTTCTAATCCCATTTTATTTATAATTCATTATAATTCATTTCTATTGTATCTCGTTCCAGTCATAAGGATATGAAGTTTTAGGTTCTAGGAAATATTTATGACATAAGGTTAGCAAAAGCTTTTTACTAAAACATGAAATATATGCGAAAAGTACGAGTAATTAAATTGGATTAAAAGGAACTTTGAACAATGTCACTCAACTTTCACTATAGTCATTTATATCCCAAATATTCACTAGTTATAAAAATCAGTAAATGAATATTTCGTATGAACTTAGCCATTTTTCCCCAATATTCAATAAAAGTGTAATATCTAGCATTTTTCAGCATCTTTCCGTTCATTTAGTTAATGAGTGTTGTATATAAGACGATGATTTGCACTGAGGATTTCATTTCACTCATCCGAGGCTATTTATTTATTTATTTAAACACATACATATTGGTACAAAAGGGCACCGGATACATACCACACCCGAGGCTATTTACATATCTTCTACCTCAGCATACTGGATGGAAAAAGCAGGTAAATTAAAACTTAGAGTGTAAAATTAAATCCTGGAGAGACTATAATTTATGGACGACCTTTAAACAAATCTTAAGTGACCTTGAGAAGCATTAGTCAGTCAGAAGACAGTTGGTATAGAGCAAACATATATTATACAACACCAAAGAATTAGAGTGGGTACACTTCTTTTACATGGTCCAAAAACTTGTCAAGGTGAGAAATAGGTTCAAAGGTTTTAAAATCGAAATGCATAAGGTAGAGGGACTCATCCATATGGCTCCATAATACTCGGTTTCTGGAGCTATTTTTTATTATTACGCATATATCCCTACAATACTCATACTTCTGAACAGACAAAGCTTCGGTAACATCTGCGAATATTGTAGCCAATAATACTGGTGCTTTTATTTTACAGTTCACAGCAAATATTATTATTTGCCTTAGTCTCAATCTGGATCGAGAGAAAAAAAGCTCCTATTCTAGTAAACTTCTTCGTCTAACATATATTACATCGAAAGATAACATCATCACGGTAGTCTGCACAAGGTCTACAAGTCAATTGATTACTGCAATTACAGATAAAGGAACTTCTTAGTAGTCCCATTTATTTTAGCCGCTTAATTGTCACGTTTTCTCTAAAATTTTCTGTGAACCGATTGTACATGAGTATCAAGTACTAAAATTAGCACTGTGACCTTGACATCCCTCAGATGCTTCTGATTTACTCGTCCATAAATTATAGTCTTGTCGAAATGCTGAGTAAAAAATTACAGTTTTTAAATCTAATACACATTCACTAAATAAATAGAAAAAAATGCCTGATACTATGACATAATGAACATTAAAAATCATACAAACATAATCTTAACTCAGAGAGCCGAGTAGGGAAAAAACATATGGGTCACAAATCCATGGATACATATTACATATCAATGTTTCCTTTTAACATTTTAAAATGTTTTATTACATAAAAATTAAAAATTGTTATTATTTAAAACAGTAATATAAATAAAATTTATTACGTAATAAACAGTTGGAAACCAGACTATTATTATACATAATTAAGTAATATATTGAATAATCATAAAATAAATTATTCTAATCTGTTATATTATTTATATTTTATTCATTGAAACATAAGAGAAATTTCTAGATAAAAATTACATAAAATCTTTTGTTGTTGTCGTCGTCGAGACTCTATCCATTTTGTGTTTTTTTTTTAAAAAAAGGGAAAGTAAATTATGATTGTTTAAAATTATTGAAATAGAAATTTATTTTGTATAGGGAACATTTAAATAGGGAGGGGGGATTCGAAACAAACAAATAAACAAAACAAAACAAAAATTGTAATAACTAAAATGATCAATAATTAGTAAATACTCTGTTTAAATATGTAAATATAGTTAAAAGGAACCAAAGAATTTCATATAGAGTTTATCATTAATGGATTTATATATATTTATTAATTTATGTTTACCATAAATTGGCGGCGCTTTAAAATGATAATATAGAAAAAACGTTTTCTCTTCAATCTATACATCAAAATTAATAATCAATTGTATTAATTAATGATAGAAAATCGATGAGTAAAGTTTTGAAGAAAATTTTTTAAATTTTTTTGTAACTGTTTTTAGTATAAATAACACTTGAGATTATTGTTGTTGATTTCGTCTTTCTGATTGTAAAGCTTTAAGTCGTTCTAATTCTGATTGTATTAAACGAAATTCTCTATTAGCTTGTTCAATTTCATAAGCTCGTATTGCTGCTTGCCAACGATAATCTATAAAATTTAAAGCAAATATACCTTATAAAAAATAATATATAGAATAGTTTTATAATATGACTTATAAAAGAAAAACGAATGAAAACAAAGATGAATATTTTCATAGTTGAAAACATGATTCAATTGACGCTAGACCACCAAAAAAAATCTGGAAGCACTGGACGGCCGTTTCGTCCTATTGTGGGACTCCTTGGCGGTCTAGCTTCAGTTGACTTATGCTTTCAACTATGAAAATACTTAGATCTCCACAAAACCCCTTCGGATAAACATGAATATACTGATGAGTTAATAATTATTAAGATAAGTAAGATTTAGAAATGATTTTTACTTTACTTATTATCAATATTACCGCTTTGTTAAGATAATCAGAATCTGTTCAGGTAGTTGACTGATTAAGAGTATTTACTTCCAAAACAATATGGTTAGTCGACAGTCGATCAGTCAGAATATAAAGTTATCATGTTGTTTTTTTCAAAAATGAATAATTGAGTTTTTTTAATATCATTGAAATCATGAATCGATCTATGTAAGACTACTGTTGAAAACCTGGAAGCGCTGGACAACCGTTTCATTCTGGTAAAGTACTCAGCAGTGTTCATTCTCAATCTTTCACTCGACATTTGAACCCAGCACCCTCGGCCTCATGAGCGAACACTTAGCCTCTAGACCACTGAGCTGGCATCCAACGGTGTCTAACTTCAGCTAATTCACGATGTCGCGTGACAATCTTCTGTGATCTTCGATGGGTAGCTACCTCACAGCTGACACGGCTGAACTCCACTGGTCATTGTAATGAAATAATAATCTTATTGTATTTTATTTACTGTTAAATTATCATGATGTAACTCTTGTATTGCAAGGTTATTGAGGAAGTTAAGTAAGATTATCAGAGTTACTTATGTCTGACAGTAATAAAAAATAATTGTTAATGATTATTAATTACGTCCAGTCAAGTTTAGATTTAATTAGCTCTATGATTGAAAGGACATTGGTGACTTCTTAATTTCTATTATTCTCAATATACAGTGATTGATAATTTGATTAGTTAATATTTAGTTTGCCCAAATACAGCTGATTTCTACTATGAGATTTCATACTGAATTTATTTATCTGGTACTATTTATGCAATTCCAGTTTCGGTATTGCGCTTATTTAAGAGAGTTTAGTGCTTTTTAGTCAGCCGTTTCTCTTCTGTAGTATAGTAATACTCAGCGTAGTAGAGGCAAGAGTAAGTAGATTGGAAATCGATTCCGTTATCTCTTTTGGTTCTGATAGAAAGTTTAGTAAATAAATTTTATTAGATATTGAGTGTACGAAGTTACAACAAAAGTGATAAAAAATTTCTTGTCTGTGAAGTAAAATCATAATGTTAACTAAAGAAATCTTGTGTATCCAACTATTAAATAAAAAATGTAATGAGGGTTTCGTCCTTCTAAGTTCTCAATATTTTTTCAGATTCTGTTTTCGTTTACACGTTTGTTAGGGACTTGTTTATCCAAATAATCTTAAGATTTCTGGAAATCTTGTCACGTCAAGTGGAGGATTTTAACTAGTTATAACAAAAGATAATTTATTTCGAACTTAACTATTCTCAATATAAACATCTTATGTAGGTTTAACATTAATAAATTTAGTAAACAATCTAAGGAGTTTGAATACAGCGTGAAAATACAGCTATGTGGTAAATCAAGACTGAAGTTTTCTAACGAACTGAAAAGAAATATACAAACAAATCTATAGGATCCTTAGTCACTCAATTATAATTCAATAAGGTTTGATGTGTTCTTAAAGATATTTCGAATACATATGGGCATTTTCTAGTGAAACTGCATTAGATATGTTTCTTAGACTACCATGGAAAAACGATCTCTGGAAAATAAAACTCAAGTTTGAATGTGGTATAAGGACATGAATAACTGTGATTGAAAATCTTCATTTTAGCATTATAGTACTAAATCTAATAATAATATTCACCATAAACTAACAACTTTAGAATTTAGCGTTAATCATTAGGAACTACAGATATGTTATGTGTTCGTATTAGGTTTTGTCACTAAGTCATATCATCACCTCTTGCTATTGGACATTGAACATTCAGGTTTAACTTCAAACTAAGTCGAGTATTTATTTTACTGACAATTTATAGATCAGAATGCAAAATAGTTATATGATGCTGTATATTTTTTATTACTCTTCAGTTGATGTACATTAGCCACATTAAATATTTCCTTGAATATTAAAAGTATGTGATCTAACTTCATTTATTGATCAATGTCATAAAGTATGAATGAGTTAAATAATCCGTCAGTTATAAAAGAATATACAAACCAGTACAGATATTCATCAACAAATATTTCTGCAGTCAATATCAGCATAATAAAAGAAAAATACCACTATAAGGAGGAAACCATTAGAAATAATAGAATATCGTCTGTAAAAAGAAACTAGATGTAGAGAATACAATCTGTAAAGAACGAATTAAGAATGTAAAATATCAATTAAAAACCAGTATTTAGAGGAAGATAAACAGGGAATGCATTTCGGACACTGCGATCGATAATAAACCATTTATACTAAACTCATTTTGTATTGTTTGTTTGGCCTCCTATTGATGTTTTGGACTGCAATTGATCAGTCTCTTATTGGTATATGTACATCCTGTGAGGAATGCCTCATTATTGCATTCTTAAACATAAACGTTAATATTCAAACAAGAAATACAAAAGGAATTTAAACTTCACTCCATTGCACAAGCTAGTGGCTAAGTGGATCACGTGATGGTGTTTGAAGCGAACGCTACTGGGTTCGAGTCACAGAGTGAACATCAACTCTGAGATGCACGTACATCCAGCTGATTAGTCCCAAATAGGACAAAACGCGCGTCCTGGATTCCACTGCTAGCCATTACCCATCTTTGCTCATTTATACTAAGGTTTTCAAATACATATAAGAATTTAATCACTGATCACTATCAAGAGGACTATACCTTTTGATGTAACACGAACTTACAGTGGAGGATTTCACGAATTGATATTATATCTTGAGTTAGATGTTGGAATATTAAATTCTAACTTGCAAAACGTCATCGTACTTTTTTTTAATTATTTATCTTAAAAATGAACATTCTATGAAGTTTAATATTGATTCATGAAAACATAAAATGAATTTAAAGTTGTTAGTTACTAGCTAACTCCATAAACTACTAATTTTTAACCTAACGCCTATAAATTTATGTTCCATTCAATCTAATCAACACTATGATGAATAATTAAAAAAAAAGATAACCGCATGGATTTAATAGTATTAATACATTTTACTAAGACGTTCTGATATTGTTTATTAGGTTCTTAATATTGGAAAATGAGTTAGTTACCAAAAGTAGTGAGTTGATTTATTTTCATAGCCAATACTCAATGGATGTAGAAAGTTTTTTTTAGACTGAAATTATGTTTAATCTATCAAATCAGCTATGTTCAGTAGTTTAAATTTTTAACAGTATCTATTTAAAACATTATCAATATTGATTAAAATGTAAAGCAATGAAAATAAAGTACCTCAAATATTACGTAATACTTTGATAAAACAAAAAGAACATGCTTTAATAAATGTAAAGAAAATAATAGTTTTCGTAAAATATTTAATTCTTGAACTTAAATAATTCAGTTGAATATAGATTTATTACTAAAAGATATTGTCTAACTTCAAGTAAGAATATAAATTAAGTAAGTATTGTCAGAATGAGAATTTGTAGAAATTGTAGTATATTAATGGTTGAATTCATGAGACGATTTAAATTAGACAACCTTGGAAAACTTGAAAATAGTGGACTGCCTTTTCGTTCTAGTATGGGACTCCTCAATAGCGCTTATTCACGATCGCACACGCGGGAATCGACCCCTTGAACTTATGTCTTGCGCGTTAACGCTTAACCTGCAGACCACTGAACCAGCATTCAGCAGTGTTAATGTCTAACTTCAACCAATCCACGAGATTGCTCGTCAGATTGAAAGTCCTGGGTTCGAGCCCCGCACGCGGGATCGTGGATTCTTATTGCTGAGGAGTCCTGTACTAGAACGAAATGGCCGTCTATGGTTTCCAGGGTGGTCTAGCTTAAATCGTCTCATCCATTCAACCATTCAATAAATATTGAAAACAGGGAATTTTAAAACTTAACACCTACCTAATAAATATGTTTACTGCTTTAGATAATTTATCAATTAATTTCAGTCTCATTTTAGTCTTGATAGAGTTTATATTGACTAAATCAAAGAAAAAAAATACACTATTCAGCCATAATTTAATAAATATTTCTTTGTTATGGTAATAAATTTCTATTAAATCAATAATAGATAATTTATGAACGCTTCAATTCATTTTTTAAAAAAAAAACAACTATTCATTAATTTTTATTTGTTTAACCGTAACAGATAAAATAAAACAAGCAATAATTCAAAATTTTGATTCTTATAATTTTAAAGTTTTGCTGGAAAAACGAAAAAAATGTTGGTTAATAAAACAACTAACTAGAATTAAAGTTATATAAGGTTGAAATGGAATATGGGAATTGAAAAATTAAAAAAAAAGGAAAATTCCCATTATTATTATTTGTACTACTACTATCAATGCGATTTTGATCATCAATATGACTGACAATAAATAAAGTACATTTTTAAATATTCTATTATTTTATAATACGATTAATTATGTTACCGAGTTGCTTAGCAGCAATAATTACCTACAATTGATTTACAATAGTTAATTATTACATATTTTTTAATAATAATATTACCAATGTAAACAAAGAATAATGTAAAGTTAAGGTTGTTCTTTTTCTTTTTTATTTAAAAAAATACACTAAATGACCTGTATATTCATTTTATATTTCTGTTATTTCTATGCCATTTTATAATAAAACATTATGATTACCATAATTCATTATATAATTATGAATGATTCTTTTGTTTAAATTATAGTTTAATTCATTCGAAAGGTGAAAATCTATTGAAGAACTAATGAAAATTAAGATAATAGGGAAATTTTATAAAGTTGAGATCATGAGTCAATTGAAGCTAGACCACCATGGAAAACCTGGAAGCACTGGATGGCTGTTTCGCCCTATTGTGGGACTTATCAGCAGTGCGCATCCACGATCCCGCCTCGCGAAATTTGAACTCAACTCTATAAAATTACTAAAATCTCCACAAAACCCCTTCTAATAATAGGGAAACTGTAAAAAGGAAATAGTCATATTTAACTGTTATAACTTGTGAGTGAGTACGTGGCCTCTTTAATATATGAACGTGATAAGACCGCCTATTGGAGAGCAGCAATTTATCGATCGGATCAATAATACACGAAAACCGTATGAGTAGTCTTGAGTACTTATCAGTTCTGCTTTCTGCCTAGCCCAGCCAGTCACGTCCAGAACATCAATAACAGCCTCTGCAATATGAATCATTATTCTCAGACATACTGGAATTATATATCAAACAAACTGACCACATCGTACCATAAAATAGAAAATGACATTTGTACAAGATTCAGTCAAATGTGGCTGTGAATAGGAGGATTAGTAACTAATTGACTAGGGATAACTCAAGAATGGGAAATCGTATAATAATAATATTCTATAGGGCAAAATAAAGCTTATAATAAGAGAAACATGAATATAAATAGTTAAGTTACTTAGCAGTTATACATTAGGAAATATACATATCATATTGGTCCATAAATAGTCCTCAAAGTTACCATTCATAATTCTCTGCGGCGTATAACATTAACTGACTTTATTTAATTATAAAGTTTGGAATATTTAATATATATATATATATATATATATATATTTCATTTCGAACTTATTGCCTTGAATGAATAAATAAATAAATTTGTAATACCCCAATAAGTTGAAAAATTTATTCTCTGAATAAGTGGCTCACACTGAGTCACGAAACGTCAGCAAATCTAATTTTACTACTCATTGGGATATTACAAATATATTATTTATTTATAACAATCTACCCAATACTCAATTTATTCAAAATAATCAAATCAAAACTTGGTAATGATACCTTACTGCTTTGAGTTATTACTTATTTCTTTTGCATTATCATATGAATAAGCTTTAATGAAATACTCAAGTTTACAAAAGTACTAAAATTTGATGTTAATCTCAAAACAGATTATAAAACTTTTCTGTTTTTCATTATATCATACAGTAATCGTCATTTGTATTTCATGGAATAAACTATAAGAGATAAGATAATGATCTTTATGACTTTAACTTAGCACATATTGTTAAAAGATGAAGTTTTAAAACGATCACATTATAATCATAAGGGGTTTTTGTGGAGATTTAGTACTTTCATAGTTGAAAGCATGAGTCAATTGAAGCTAGACCACCATGGAAAACCTGGAAGCACTGGACGGCCGTTTCGTTCTATTGTGGGACTCCTCAGCAGTGCGCATCTGCAATCTCGCCTCGCGATACCGCAACCCGGAACTGTTGATCAGCTTCGCGGATTTGTTGAAGTTGGACATTAACACCATCGGATGCCGGCTCAGCGGTCTGTCGGTTAAGTGCTCTGGCGCGAGACTGGTAGTCCTCGGTTCGAATCTCGCGAAGCGAGATCGTAGATGCGCACTTCTGAGGAGTCCCACAATAGGACGAAACGGCCGTCCAGTGTTTCCAGATTTCCGTTAGTGGTCTAGCCTCAATTGACCACATTATAGTCAGTCATCTTATACTAAACAACCTTATCTCTAGTAGTTTACTAGCTGTGCGTGTTGAAGAATTCATATTCATCCAAACAGTTATAACACTCTTGATTATTCTATCAAATAGCTTGAAATTTAGTGTATTGTCTCCTGAACCATTAAAAGTTTACAGAACCATAATTTTGATGAGTCATACTAAGTACAAAATATGAGTACACATTTTCCTTCTAGTTTATTTCTATCATCAAACTGTGTATACTCTTATTTAAGTACTGTCATTGTAGGAGAATGACAGCATTTCATATTAGATATCGTAATAAGTAACTTTAAGGTACTTGATAGATTAGTGTCTACAGGTGTTAACAGTGGAAAGTACTCAAATTAGTAAATTGAGACGTGAATGGAGTTTGCTTTAAGAGTGCATTTGTATCAACTTTGATTATGTCTTTGAAGTAAATGACCCAAAGTCTACTAGTTTAAAGGCTAATGATCTTCTTAGACATTTCATTTTACGTGATACCTAGTTTTGATGAAAACAATAAACTTATAAACTTGTACCATGAATATATAAAATCTTTCTAAGAAACCACCATATAACTGACTGTATCACACCAGCAGTTTTAAAAACACCTTCATCTTGATAATTTTTTTAACAAATTAACCAAAAGATTCTTTTCTTAGAAAATTTTAGCCTAAATTGTTGTTTGCATTCAATGTTTTGCTATGAGAAATTGTTCAAACTGAGACTACTCAGGAGCGTAGAGTCATGTGAAATAAGTCACCATTTGTGATTTGAAAAATAAAAGATGTGATCTTATCATCAGTGATCTACTTTTAATCATTATTTATTCAGTTTATCTTGTTCAAATTAGTTAAGCTTGTTTGTTTGAACAAGTAACAGTAAATGTGTCATCTGTGATTGGACACAACATTGATCCAACAGTTTCAAAGATAAAACTAAGTAAGCATTAATCAACTTTGTGACAAAAGCTCAATTTTCGATCTTAAAAGTAGTTCAAAGTTTTAATAATGAACATTTTTAAGATACGAGTCATTACAATCATTTAACGAACTTACCTCTCTCATATTGAGGTGAAAAATAATCAGGCTTATTGGGCTTGTTGACGTCGTCCAGCATCGTTAATCTTCTATCTTTTTCCACTTTCAAGGCTTCATCAAGCGTATTTTCAAGAGCGGCCATAAGAGCTAGATTATGACCACCTGTATGCTCATAGACTCCACGCAAAGTTCTACATGAAGACAAATCAATTATTTTGTGCAATATTTCACATTTTATTACAATGACAAAGATCATAAGGTATTTGGAAATATTTGATTATTAATTTGAAAATCAGAATATTAACCTAACATGATAACCTATAAATTAACTGCATAATAACTAAATGTTAGTAACTTGTTTCTTTGACTTTTCTCACACTGCTCACTACACAATTAGATGTTTATTTATCATCTATGTATTAACAACATTTCAAAGTTATTGAGTGCTTTTTTGAACAAGAAAATTAAGTTTACGATAGAAAATGTACATTTGAAACTTCAATAGTTATTTAGACTGCTCTGAACTATTAACATCCATTTTCACAGAAATTTCTGTAAGGACGTAGAACGAGTATAAGCGAGATGATGTAGTGTGTTATATGATTGTTTGAAATTATCCATGTCTTTGAATACTACTGTGTACTTATCACACGATAAATAGCTTTTTTAAGAGATAAAAATTCTAAAATTCTAAAACATTTTTGTATTTACTTAAACCATTAAAGAGCAGAAATGCAGTTGTTTTGACATGTTCTAAGATGGTTAAATTTGTTGACAGGTAATATAGACGGATGCAAATACCGTGATGTTTGTGTGACAGTTGTAGGTTTGTTAGAAGCTGGAATTCTGATTCATTTTCTGCAAGACTTAGATGTTTATCTCCTGCGATATCTGACGGACAGTATTTTTTTGCGCGCACCACATTAACTTTCCATTTCATAAATGAGTTTAAACACATAGTAAAGGGGATCACAATTCTTTAGAATAACAAAAGTGATGAGCAATTGTGGCAAAAAAATGAAATTTCTAGGCATACAAAGTCAGTGAATCCTATAACTAGTTTTTTAGTAGGTCGACCTAAACAAAACAATGCATAAAATATAGTTGTTTCAATTTTTGTAACTAAGATCCCATCCATCCTGTTCCCAGAAATCTGTTTTGAGAAAAATCGTGAAAATATTCCACTGGATCATCTTATAAGACAGTAACATATTACACTAACTGTATATTACTATCAAAAATGTGATTAAACTCGTCTATGATCTATTTTAGTATTTAAGAGGAGAGTAAAAGTTCAGCATAGTTAGGCGTTTTTTCATAATTTTCACAACTCATGAGAAATTCTAGTGAGTTTTGTCAGCTGTTTAAAGAAATACAGAGGATTTTCTCCAGCAACAACATACTTTAATTTCTGGACAGTTAAAATCACTATCAAAAAGTCTATTTTATTTTATAGATCCAAGGATATATATCTTGAATACTGGTCATTGTTAAATATGTTCAGCAACACGCAGAATAAAGGGAACATTATTTTTATGTTTGGGACGGGTATATACCCATGCAAATACAAAAAAGGACTTCTGGACGTTCGTCGGCACTTCTAGGAACGACAAAATGCGTCTCAAATGTCACAATATACTATTTTAAAAATGAATAAATCTAAAAGTTAACAATTTTCTAATATGTGTTCAAATACAAAAGATGTGACATGGACTTGAGAGTACAATAAAGAGTGATCAGTGACTGAAACAAACAAGCAAGGTGAAAAGAATAAGTATGGCAAGAACCATGCAATTAGAACACAAAGAGCAAAATGACTGCAAATAAATATCATATTTTGGTCATTTATAGGAAATGAGGAGCAATAACTCACAAGATAGCTAAAAGAAAATATGAGGATAATATGCGTGATTTATGACACAAAAAGTACTATGTCATTAGGCATTACAGCAACGTTATTCATTGGTTTGGTTTTGATTCAACTTTCTGCTAATAACCTTGTTTCTCATTTATTATGGATGAAATTGGTATAGTCCGTAATCGTATGATACTTGCAAAGTGTTGGAGTAAGATTAATTAATGCCGAATAATGATCATAAGACTTGTTGTCATTCGTGTAAAAACTGTACATTTATAATATACCACAAGTAAGAGGGTATATTGGTTAGACAATAATTAAGTAAAGAAAAAACACTGACTTAAGTGACCAGCTGACCATTCACCTATGAAAAGTAGCTAGTGACCTTTAGTCCTCGGATAATTTTTCTTTGGTAACCTCTTTACTATAGCTTTATATGTTCTTCATAACTCTACATACCATAGAACATTTATTGTTTCATCTACCAACTTCATAGTATGAACGATATCTTTTGAAAAAATCTAACTAAATTCCAGAACGGACGTGAAGTAAAGTATTTAACGTGGTTGTATGACGGTCACACTTATTCGCACTACTTCAGAACAAGTAAGTTTGTAAGAGTGATATTATCTCGAGTTTAGAAAGACGATTATTTTCTACATACAAGTTAATCATACCACTGACCGAAAAAAGAAAATTGTGAATAATCTGTGTACGCGCGCTATTTAAAAGGACAGTGGTATTGTTTCTCGTTGAGTTAAATTCACTGTTTTGATCGTAAATTACGTATCAAAACTACTGTTAACACTTTAATTGAATTTATTTCAGTTAACGTGACATTGTATTTGTGTGTTTTGATCCTGATTTTGTGTATTTACTGCGTCAAAGCATTCTTGGTCGACTGCGGCTTGTTTATTTGATAAGGTTGTGATTTATCTTACATATCTACCTTGCCTATCATTTTGCTTTATTCTAAGATGGTCGGCTCTGTACACAAGTGTGGACAGCCATATTGCTTATTCCCCGTGGAAGAAGGGATGCAATGTGACGAATGTAAGAAGTGGTTTCATAAAATGTGCACCCGATTAAGCCCTGCTGCCTATAAAAGGTGCTCGAAACCAAATTCTCATTGGCTCTGTATGTTTTGTTGCTCAAGCAAGACATTACTCATTCAGGAAGCCATCAGCCTTCTAGCGTTAGCTAAAAAGGTCGACGTAGGTCGTGCCGGCAACATGGATACTGATAATGAAGATTGTATCAGTGTCGTAAATGCTGCCATGGCAGGTACCAGACACCCAATTTCGCAACATGAAGCAAACATTTGTACTCCGGTACAACCAATGAAAGCCATGCCAATAAGTATTGAGGGACCAGTCGCTTTAGCAGCGACTGAGGACCCGGCTAGAACCACTATCGTCCAGAATAGTTCCAATCTGGATGCTGAGAATAGTGGTAAATGGATTACGCGGAAACGCAAAAGAGACGGAAAAATACCCAAAGAAAGCGCGCGTATAGTCGATAAGTCATCGTTGGACTCCGTCCTGAGCATCAGGCAACTCCGCTCAAGTCCAAATGTAAGGAAATATTTAATGCTGTTGTGGATGGAAATAGTCTAACTTCACCAAATGTTGTTGGGAGTAACTCGCTCGACCCACATGACACTGTTATAAAGAAAGCTAACAGTAAGAAGCCGGTAGCTAACCGGCAGGATCTGTCATCACGGTCAAAGGCCGTGAACACGACTTTTAAGGAAGTTAAACAGGTGCCTAATGTAATCATCTGGAACTTGGCAGAATCGAAAGACACCGATCCCGCTAAGAGACATGCCCACGACCTGCAGTTAGTGGGATCTCTTATCAGAAATATACTGCCCGATGAGGTCCCAGGGGTACATATCTCGAAAGTCATCAGACTCGGTAAATATGTTGGAGGCGAAACCCAAAAGAGAAGGACCCTTAAATTAGTACTCGGTAATTTTGAGGAAAGGGACGTATTACTAAATAACGCACGCAAAACTCGTGACTCAAACATTCGTATTTGACCTGACTGGCCACTTGAGGATCGGATCAAGTGGAAGAATGCCCTAACAGAGTTAAAAATTCGAAGGCTAAACGGTGAAGCGAACCTTACGATTAAGGGTTTTCGGGTAGTCAGGTCTTGGAAGCCAATGCTTCCGAGACCTGTGTGGGTAGAACGTATGTCTCCAAAAACACCCTAAATGTGTGTTATACGAATGCTCGTAGTCTTCGGAATAAGATAACTGAACTAAGTTTGATGGTAGACGACTTAAATCCGAATATAATTGTTATCACCGAAACTTGGCTCACTGTAGATATAGACTGTTCTCCAGTCATTTCAGGCTACATCTGTGTCAGAAGTGATAGAGTTAGAAGTCGCAAGGGAGGAGGCATAATATTATATATTAGGGACCACTTCCGCATTAACTCGATCATATCGGAGGCGCATGTAAGTGGTACGTGTGAGGTAGTATGTTGTACAATTAGGTCTAGAAACGGGTTAGTGACGATAGGAGGAATATATCGTAGTCCGTGTTGTCTCGCTGACGACTTTATCCTGAAACACGTCTGTTCTTGGAGTAAAGCAGAATGTTGTCTCATCGTTGGAGACTTCAATGCACCCCATATAAACTGGATAGAGCTCACAGCTCCAGGTGGGGGTTTCGATAGCGTACTTCTGTCATCAATTATTCAATGTGCACTTGTACAATGTATCGTTAAGCCGACGCATATAGACTTGGAACATAATCCGTCATTGATAGATCTTGTCCTCACACACCACAGTGAAGATATCGTCGACATTCAACACCTTCCCCCACTGGTGAATAGTGACCATGTCGTACTTTCTTTTAAGTTCCGGATACATGGTATAGAATTTGCATCTGCTCCACCCCGTCCTAGTATCTGGAGAGCTAATATTCCGGCAATAAGGGACTATGCTATCTCAATTGACTGGTCGGTCGATGCTGATGGATCGATTGATGATGCATGGAATAGGTTCAAGTCTACGTTCGAATCCGTAACTCAACCGTTTATCCCATGGTCAGCACGTAAGCTATCATATTACCCTCCATGGATTAATAAGGAAACCCGGAAGCTGTTGAAGCGCAGGAAACACTTCTGGGACTTATTCTTGTCAACAGATCAGGCATCATTTAAGTGCGAATATAAAATATCCGGAATATATGTAAAAAGACCATAGCTAAATCCCGCATGGCTTACGAACGACAGTTGGCATACGATAGCCGTACCTGTCCGAAGCGACTGTTTTCGTATGTTAAAAGGCGGACGAAACGTAGTGATGGTATCCCCTCATTACTGTTAAGCGAAAATTCAGCTTTATTGGCTGAATCTGATCTAGCGAAAGCGGAGACACTTGCAAACTATTTCAGTGAAGTATACTCTACGTGCAGTGTTACAACTACTTGTCCCGTTGACAATGAGATACCAGCCATAGGACCTTTGCACGTGACAGAGGATATTGTTCTTCCTTTGATAACTAACCTAAAACCTTGTAAGATACCGGGCCCCGATGGGTTACACCCACGTTTGCTGTCGTCGCTTGCGGACATTATCTCAAGACCGCTCACGATGCTCTTCAACATGTCCCTTTCACAGGCTCAACTACCTAGAGACTGGAAAGACGCCATAGTTAGTCCTATATTTAAGGATGGTCAGAGACGGATCGTATCTAACTACCGTCCTGTTAGCCTGACCAGTATAGTAGTTAAGTTACTTGAAAAATTAATTCGGGCTAAGCTAATGAGCCACATAGATTCGTACAATCTGTTAACTCCCGAGCAACATGGGTTTCGTAACAAGCATTCATGCTTGACTAACTTACTCATTGAGAGAGAGGATTGGACAGCTGCCCTAGACAACGGCCAGTCTGTCGACGTGATATTCATAGATTTTAGCAAAGCGTTTGATAAGGTTTCACACTTAGGTCTTATGCAAAAGCTCTCGAGCTTTGGTATAACAGGTGCTATACAGGAATGAATAGGAGGCTTCTTATGTGACCGCAGACAGGGAGTGAGGGTCAATGGAACTCTATCCGAATGGAAACCGGTCAAATGTGATATACCCCAAGGCACCATCTTAGGCCTTTTACTTTTCCTTCTGTATATTAATGAACTATCTTTATTACTTAAGTCGTCGACGTTATTGTTTGCGGATGTTGTTGAAATCTGGAGAACAATAAGAAATGAGACCGATCGTTGTTATCTGCAAGCAGATTTAGACGAATTAGTTAGGTGGGCTCATGATTTGGCCCTGGAAGTTAATTCCAGGAAGAGCGTGTTCATGCACATCGGGCACGATATTAGTTACCATTATACCATTAATGGTACATCTCTGCCACGCGTTCATGAGCACAAAGACTTAAGAGTAATTATAAGTCACAACTTAAAAACTACTACGCACTGCAATGCGGTTGCTTCCAAAGGCTATCGAGCGCTATGGTCGCTTCGCCTAGCATTTAAATGCTTTGACGAGGATATGTTTCGAATTTTATATCCCACCTATGTAAGGCCACACTTAGAATACTGTATCCAAGCAGCTAGCCCTTGTCTGATAAAGGATAAATCGCTTGAGCGTGTCCAGCGTGTAGGGACAAAATTAGTAAAGGATCTTTCTAAACTCCCTTACGATGAGCGTTTAAAACGTCTAAACCTTTTCCCCTTATCTTATCGTAGGACGCGAGGTGACCTTATACTGGCATTTCGTATCTTTAATTATGATCTGGGTGTTAATATGTCTTATCTTTTTGCTCCCTCCAGCACTAATAATCTCCGAGGTTATAGCAAGAAGGTTCTGAAACCGCGATCTAATAAACTAAAGGTGGGGTCCCGTTTTTCTTATCGAGTGGCCAATGACTGGAACGCTTTACCAGAACAAGTGGTATCAGCACCATCAGTGAACATTTTCAAAAAGAAGCTGGATCTTCACTGGAAGGAAATCTGTCAGGATTAACACAGGTTCATCAACCTACTATCCTTATTACTGAAGACTGAAGACTGAAAATATTTCCATAATTTTCTTTTAATTAATCAGAAAACAAGGTTTTAAAGTCAACTAATATTCTGTATGCATAGCACACCACACCGACTTTAATACGCTTCTTTTGTGAGGAAAACGTTTCGTGTAACATAAATTTACTGACGTATTGAAGAATATCATGAACCTCTTAGTTTACCACGAAAATTATGCTAAGTGGAAGAGTGTGCCCTTTAGTTCAGAATACTGTTTATATGAAACACCAGTTGAAAAGTTAATGGAAATACCCTCATTTTAATGTAATTCCAATATAATTCGAACTCTTCAACTGATTACATGAATAAGTTTATAACAGTGATTACACATTAGTAATAATGACAAACGTAATACAGTGACTCACCTTAACTCAATTACCAGTTCACTATCAAGTGGATAGTTTTTGCGGTAAAATTCACTTTAAACAGAAATAAGTTGGTTAGGACACTTACTGTAAATGTAAAAATGATTCCTGAAATCTCCTCCTTTCTATCAAATCCATGGCGGTATAAGTAAGATTTCTCTTGGATTCACTAAATCTCAATCATAGAAATACAGAATCGTACTCTTCAGAGGGATATTTCGGTACTGGGTGATATGTAGATGGTATATCAATATTTGTCGGAGGGTCAAGAAAACGCGTGCGGTGTTGTGAAGGTCTGTTAGGCTTTGGTATAACTTCATCTGAATCTGAAAGACGATTAATACCTGTAAATTAATTGTTTGGATGAAGGAATAGTATTTTACTATCACAGCAGTTGTTCAATGGAGCGAATTGTACACAACGCGATTTCGGAACGTTTGGTGAAGGTAGTTGTTCACAGTTAAACGAGCTAACTGCATCATGTCTTTCACATGCGTCACTTCTTTCATTTGATCTGGGCACTGCGCCACATTCTAGACTTTTGCTTTTCCTGGGTTTTGCGAAAACAATGCTTTCTGTTCGGTATTTCCTAACTAGTTTTCTTAACCTTTCCAGCTCTACTTCCAGGGCTTAAACCGTAGATGAAATAGCACAAATACAAACCTGATTTAATATCATCCATTCCTATCTTAGTTAAATTATAAAGAATATTTGTAAAGTACAGTATCCCCCATTTTAAAAGTGCTTCAGAGTCAGATGTAACGATAATTGATGTGTTTAGGAAACTAAAACAAAATCTCTAACAAAGTACAAAGATTGTTAAGTGGAAGTGAACTATGTTGTCTGTGCAAAAAATGAAAAACCATTCTATACATATAATACTATGAAAAATCAATTTGACAAGCACTTAGATAATCCTGATCATGTTTGAAAGTGATCTGTTTTGTACCATCTTCCTAATTTCTTTTTCTTCTTATACAGTTTAATAAATATGCGGTGAAAAAATGCGAAAGGCCATCCAAAACGATAGTTCTGTCTACTTCACTTGATACTGTCATTGCTTGAACAATGAGGAACAAAAGTCACTACGCGAAACTTGATACTGTAGCTGTAAATAATTCCACAAAATCAGTAGTTCATTAAGTGTTCGACATTGGATGCTGACCACGTTGTTTAAGTGGACTTGTTTAGCTGAAGACTTTCGGTCATGCATCCGTACCAGATCACGTTTCAACACGGCGTGGGACACAGCTCCTACGTTTCATTAGCCAGCTTATAGAAAAGGTCCTCGATATATTGGTAACGAATCAAATATATCTTTCCTGCCTCTTCTCGCCTCACTTCTGATTTCTATCTGACTGGGAACGATCGAATATAGAAGGTGCTACTGGTAGCTAGTTGTAAAACTAGAACAGCCGTTGCATCCTCATTGATGAACCCGATGTGATCTGGTACACCAAGTCAAAATACTATCAGTCTGTTCCACTTTGGAATATTATTATTCATTGTTATTTTTTATTTGAATTTTATATATTGTGATATACTTTTTTTCGCGAATTTTTTTTCCCGTATATATTTTAATTAGACATTTTTCGTTATCTATATTACTATGACGGAACACTCTCCTAAGGTTCTTAAGTTTAAGTCTATTCCCCCTATTTCGATTCAGTTAACGCCATTTTGGCCCGACAATATCGAGTCCTGATTCTGCTATGCAGAAGCCGATTTTTGCATGCACGGAATCACGGACTCGCGCACACGTTTCCTCGCGGTAGTTAAGGCGTTACTGCGCGAGTTTAACAGGTATGTGACACCTAGTATGTTTACTAGTGATGTTCCCGAACCTTACGAAACGCTTAAGCAATCGATTTTAAAACGAGGAGACCTAACTGATCGACAACGGTTAGACCAACTCCTGAACAATATCGACTTGCAACATGGTTCTGTGACGGATATGTTGCTTAGAATGAGAGAAGTCATCGGCCAACGAATTTTCGATGATGGCCTATTTAGACAACTTTTCTTGTCAAAACTCCCTCAACAGGTGCAGGCAGTGCTTGTTTCATTTCAAAACAATGCCATAGATGAACTAGCTGCATCTGCCGATCGAATCTTGGAAATCATTAGATCTTTTAAGGTCGAGGTTTTTTCCGTCAAAGAAAAACCCCAATCGACCTCGACTGACATGGCCGAACTATGTCACACGCTTACACGATATCTTAGAGTTCGCAATGACCGTAGTCGGTCAAAAACCCCGCGTAGAAGCGTCTCACGTAAGCGATCTGGCTCTCGACCACGAGAGACAGACAATCCCGACTGGTGCCGGTATCATAACCAGTACGGTAAGTTTTCCAGAAATTGCAGGAAACCTTGCAATTATCCGACTTCAAAATCGACTGACACGAATAAGATTTCGGGAAACTTCCCAGCCGGCACGCGTTAACGGCAACCGTAGCCGGCGAACACAGCCGTCTGTTATACGTCACGGATGTGACTACGAAAGTTCGCTACCTCGTCGACACTGGCGCAGAAGTTAGCGTTCTTCCAGCAAATCCCGACGACAGACTTCGCGAGTCTGTTTTAAGCTTACAGGCGGCAAAAGGAAAGCCGATCGCTACTTACGGTAAAAGGTACGTCTACCTTAACGTGAGTTTACGCAAACCCATACACTGGATTTTCGTTGTTGCAGATGTCTCTACGCCAATCATTGGTATAGACCTGTTACAACACCACAATCTACTCATCAACACACACTCACGAAGGTTAATAGACGGAAACACTAAGTTATCCCTTTGCGTAACTCCTTATTCCGGTTGCAGGTTATCCCCAGTCACGATTAAGCACACCATAGACCCATTGTACCAATCAGTACTCGACAAATTCCCCGGGATATACCAATCGCAATCGAAATTGCCTTGTGTAACCAGCAATGTTACACATCACATCTCGACTACAGGACCACCTGTATTTTCGAAAGCTCGAAGACTCGCTCCCGAGAAGCTTAGGTTAGCTAAAAACGAATTCGACCACATGATGAACCTAGGGATAATTCGACCATCGAATAGTCCATGGGCATCCCCATTGCATATGGTCCCTAAAAAGGACAGCAGTGATTGTCGTCCAACTGGTGATTATCGGCGTCTGAATGCGAAATCCATTCCCGATCGTTACCCGCTGCCTCATATTCACGATTTGACAGCTACCTTGAAAGGTACAACTGTCTTTTCGAAAATCGACTTGGTTAAAGCTTATAACCAAATCCCGATAGCACCTGACGACATTCCTAAAACCGCCATCATCACTCCCTTCGGTCTTTACGAATTTCTACGAATGCCTTTTGGTTTAAGAAACGCGGCTCAAACCTTCCAAAGGTTTATAGACGACGTCTTCCGAGGTCTCAACTTCGTACATGCGTATGTTGATGACTGTCTAATAGCAAGTCCGGACAGTGAATCGCATCTCAAGCATCTGGACATTGTTTTCGATCGACTCCAAAGGCATGGCATTACTGTCAACATACAGAAATGCCAAATCGGAACAAACTCCTTAGACTTCCTAGGACACACCATTGATGCTCAAGGCATCCGACCCCTTAGGAGCAAAGTGGCGGCCATTCTGGATTACCCAGAACCGACCACGATCAAGCACTTACGAACTATCAACGGACTTGTAAGTTTCTATAGACGGTTCATACCCAAATGCGCATCCCTTATGAAACAGTTAACCGATCAGCTTCGTGGAAATGCGAAATTAATTAGTTTAGACGACATATCCCGTAAAGCATTTTCCACAGTTAAGGAACACATCGCTAAAGCAACCTTGCTTGCTCATCAGGACAGTCAAGCGCCCATTAGTATCGCCGTAGACGCATCCGACTCAGCAATCGGAGCAGTCTTACAACAATGGGTTAACAACTCGTGGCAACCTTTAGGATTTTTCTCGAGACGGTTGCTAGACGCGGAATCTAGGTACAGCACGTTCGGTAGGGAACTCCTAGCTATGTATTGTGCTGTACGGCATTTTCAACATTCCATCGAAGGAAGAAAATTCACGCTTTTTACCGATCACAAACCTCTTACCTTCTCCTTAAGTTCATCTTCAGACAAGTACTCACCGCGAGAGTCTCGACAACTCGACTACATTTCGCAGTTTACTTCAGACATACAACATATTTCTGGAGCTAACAATGTAGTCGCAGACGCCTTGTCTCGAATAAGTTCCTTGAACAGTTTCCAAGGAATCGACCTTCTTAAACTCGCTCAGCTTCAAAAAGAAGACATTGATCTTCAGCATGAGTTATCCTCGACAACTCTAAAACTAAGTATTAAGCAGATGGGAACAGGTAAGGAAACCTTACTGTGTGATATATCTACAGGTAGGGATCGTCCAATTGTACCAAAACATTATCGCCGCAACGTCTTCAATACGTTGCAATCTTTCTCATCCAGGTGCTCGTGCAACCGTCAAACTTATAGCCGAACGCTTTTGTTGGCCTGGCATGAATAAAGACGTGAGGAAGTGGGCACGCTCCTGTGTAAGTTGTCAGAAATCTAAGGTAATCAGACACAACAAATGTCCCTTAGGTTCTTTCAAAACCCCTGACGCTCGTTTCGACCACGTCCATCTAGATTTGGTAGGACCCTTACCCGACTCGAATGGATACTCATATCTCTTAACATGCGTAGACCGTTTCACTCGATGGCCAGAAGCAGTACCGATTAAGGACATTACTGCTGAAACAGTGGCCCGCGCTTTCGTCGAACGATGGGTAGCAAATTTCGGCTGCCCTTCCACAATCACTACAGACCGCGGACGCCAATTCGAATCTGGACTTTTCAGTTGTCTGACCACACTATTAGGAATCGCGCGCTTCCGAACGACCACCTACCACCCACAAGCAAACGGGTTGGTAGAACGTTTTCATCGAAAATTAAAAGCTTCATTATCAACTTCAAACGTTTCACAGTGGACAGACGCTCTTCCACTCGTCTTGCTAGGTATCCGCAATGCAGTGAAAGCTGACATTGGATACACTGCATATCAACTCGTTTACGGAACGACACTCCGACTCCCAGGAGAATTCGTGGATCCTTCAGCTTCTTCATTGAACATGGATCTAAACTCTTACACGAGTAGGTTTACAAACGCTATGCGTTCAGTTAAACCTGCTCACACTCGACCTCAATCAACTGATGTTTTCGTTCAATCCGAATTACGACATAGTTCACACGTCTTCGTTCGTCGGGACTCACATCGACGACCCCTCGAATCAGCATACGAAGGACCCTTCAAAGTTCTTCAACGCGAACCTAAGTACTATGTAGTCGATAAGAACGGTACGAACGATAGCATCAGTATCGATCGACTCAAAGTAACGTACTTAGAAGGAAACCCTAGCTACGTCGATTTTCCTTCGGTACAAGCAAACGACACAGCCACTACACTCGTAGTACCCTACACAACAACCGACACACAACTTGATACTTGGTCAACATCGATAGATAAACCTAAAACAACGCGTTCTGGAAGAAGAGTAAGATTTCCAGAACA